TATGTATATGTTTGTATGTATGTGTATGTTTGTATGTATGTGTATGTTTGTATGTATGTGTATGTTTGTATGTATGTGTATGTTTGTATGTATGTGTATGTTTGTATGTATGTGTATGTTTGTATGTATGTGTATGTTTGTATGTATGTGTATGTTTGTATGTATGTGTATGTTTGTATGTATGTGTATGTTTGTATGTATGTGTATGTTTGTATGTATGTGTATGTTTGTATGTATGTGTATGTTTGTATGTATGTGTATGTTTGTATGTATGTGTGTGTTATCAAACTTTTAATTTATTCACATTTATTCACATTGACTTGAAATAGTACCAACAACAACATCCTCATCATCGTCGTCATCATCACCACTACCATCATCATCATCATCATCATCATCATCATCATCATCACCACTACCATCATCATCATCATCATCATCATCATCATCATCATCATCACCACTACCATCATCATCATCATCACCACTACCATCATCATCATCATCATCATCACCACTACCATCATCATCATCATCATCATCACCACTACCATCATCATCATCATCATCGACAACCGAAGAATCAAATTTGTTTCTATACTTCAGTTTTCTCGTCAGCAAAGTTTTTCAAGTCGTTCCCGCCAAAAATATCATGTTGTTGTTTATGTTCATGATGGGACGCTTCACTTTGAATTTTAATTTCTTTTGAAAGAGACGGTTTTTGTTGTTGTTTTCGTTGTTGTTGTCGTTGTTGTTGTTGTTGTTGCTGTTGTTGTTGTTGTTGAGATATTTGACAATTTTGTTGTTGTTGTTGTTGTCTAAAAATGTGTTGTTGTTGTCTAAAAATTCTGGCTTGAAATTAAGAGATTGATGTCTTTGTTGATAATTTGATTTACGCCTTACTCCGACAAAATGTTTCGACTCTTTTAGCTGTTGTTGTTGTTGTTGATGTTGTTGTTGTTGTTGTAGTTGTAGCAGACGTTGTTGTAGACGTTGTTGTTTCAGCTGCTGAAAGCGTTGTTGTTGCTGTATCAGACAGTACTGCAACTCGTGAATTTTTTGCAGGGGTGGTGGTTTTCTCTGCTGCAGTTGTCTAATTTGTTGTCGCAAGTTGTGCAGCAACAATTGTTGAAAGTTCTCATCATGTTGTTGTTGTTGTTGGCGGTGTTCATGATAACGATGCTGATGAGGAAGATGGTGTTGATGATGATTAATGACGTCACGATCAGCAATTGAGTAAAAATAATTTTCACTGTAGCGATGAGGTGACGATAGGCGGAGCTCAGTTTGCTGAAAATTACCAGCTTCATCGTCATCATTATCGTCCTCTTCATCCTCATTAGTGATAACCATTTCAGAATCGTCATCGGCTAGTGAGAGATGCTGTCGACACTGACGCCGCTGCAGTTGCTGCTGCTGGAGCTGTTGCTGAGACCGCTGCTGAGACAGCTGCTGAGACTGTTGTCGTAACTGTTGGTGTGAAGTTTCATCAGTCGGAGACAGGTTATGATGATGATGAGGAGGAAGAGGATGAACAGTTATGACGTCATTCGGCGATTCGCTTCCGTCATGTTTTTCATCATCTTCCTTATTGAGGGTGATAATCTTTTTATAACTATTTGTATTATTATGGCCCGCACTTCTACTTTCTGCTTTTATAGTAGTATTATTGTTATTATTATTGTTATTTATGATCTTCTGCTGGCTTCGACAATCACCTCTGCAATTCAGCAAGTCGTTACTTTCAATGAATTTGTTTACAACTTTATTCCTCCCTAGAACCACAACATCGTCATCATCATCATCATTATTAATTATATTATTATTAATCATATTATTATTATTACTATTAATATTAATTATATTATTATTGTTATTATTATTATTATTATTATTACTGTTTGTGTTATTAGTCGTTTGCTTCAACAGATTATAACGAACGGTATGGTTTGTTTTGGCGAGGGAATTATTACTGTCGTCATTGCTATTGATGTTGTTGTTATTATTACTATTATTATTGTTGTTGTTGTTGTTGTTGTTGTTGCTTAAGCCTTCGTTTGTGTTGTTGTTGTTGTTGTATGCGTTATCTGAGTAATTTTTACCGTAGATGTTATTGTACAAAACATGTATGTTGTTGTTGTTGTTGTTGATGTTGTTGTTGATGTTGTTGATGTTGTTTTTGTTGATGTTGTTGTTGTTGTTGTTGATGTTGTTGATGTTATTTTTGTTGATGTTGTTGTTGTTGTTGATGTTGTTGATGTTGTTGATGTTGTTTTTGTTGATGTTGTTTTTGTTGATGTTGTTGTTGTTGTTTTTGTTGATGATGTTATTGTTGTTGATGTTGTTGTTGATGTTTTTTGGTCTTACGACCATGCTGTCATAAGTTCCCGAGGTGTCACATTTTTCAGCGCTATCATTAGCAGCCATTTCCTCTATAGGACTAGCAACGACATTCCTCGAGCAGTTAAAATATTTTGGACCGCGAGAATTTTTCCGCAGGCCACCAGCGAAAGTACAACAGGTGCTGCTGTTAAACTCCGGTTTATCTATTTTGTGATGCGTGTCGTCTGCTTGATGACGACGACGTTTCGGTCTTAAATTTTTAGTCCCTCCCTCTGGCTCCATGTTAATTTGTTGCTCTTTCATTTGCATTTTAATCGAATGGCTTATGTCCTTTCTCAAGAACCTGTGGCTGTTGTGGCTGCTGTTGAGGCTGTTGTCGTTGTGGTTGAGGCTGTTGTCGTTGCTGATGTCGTTGCAGATGTTGTTGTTGTGGTTGCAGATGTTGTTGTTGTGGTTGCAGATGTTGTTGTTGGCGTTACATTTGTTGCTGAGACTAATCAAAGTACTTCTGTGGTCGGAGTCATGTTTGATGTTGTTGTGGTTGCTGTGAGAGTAACATTCTTCTTCTCTGCAACAATCGAGTTGTTGAAGGACTTTGCAACTACAACCTGCTGCAACATTTATTTTCAAATCGTCAGCAGCTGCAGCTTCACAGCAGCCATCATCATCATCGGCAGCGGTTTGTTCTTTCTCATCTTCAACATCTCCATCTCCGTTGTTCTTCGTCATCTTTCGCCTCTTAGTAACGGTCACCAATCCAACCACAACCACAGCAATCGTTGAGACAACCGCCAGAACAATCAAGACAAAACACACGGCAATAGTTATAAAGTCGTGTTTTTCTTGCAACAGTCTGAAACTTGAAGGAGAGGAAGAGGAAGAAGATGATGAAATCAAAGTTGCGTGAGATAAATGTCGCTTCGATGCATCCTCTCTCGTCAGGTGGCCGTAGAGAACCTTATGAATTTTATCGACTGATTCCCTTCTGGGGTCAAAGGTCACGAGGAATTCTATGTTGGAGGCTAGAGGAAATTTATTAAAGTCCTCTTTCACGTCGTCTTCCATCAGTTGCGACCAATCCCCGCCATCCCGGATGTCAATCTTGATCCGGTACGTCAGGCAGCGAGTCTGCTTGGAAGGAGCCTGTGCCCCATACGATGAATTTGAGTGAGAAGAATCTGACGACGATGACGACGATGATGATGATGATGATGACGATGATGATGATGGTGATGATGACGATGTTACTGAAGGAAGATCATTCCTCACGTACAAAACGCCAGTCAACTGATCAACTTTGAATGGAGTTTTGTTGACGCTTGCTGCCTCATCCAAGTCGCCCTCATGTCTTCGTCTCCACATGAAGTTCACCGCCCCATTTCTCTGCCCCGCACCAGCTCGGCTTTCCATAAAATTTTCAAAACTCTCAAAGCCATCATCCTCAAATATGACGCTCTCTTCGAAGTAGTCTCTCTCGAACGAAACCACGGAAACTGATTGCAACTTGAACCTCAAACCTGAAACTCCGTTCAACCTTTCGTCTGGGTCAACAACCTCCATTCGAACCAGATTGACCCCGGGTTCAAGAGGGCACGAGCCTTGTATTACGTCACCATTGCGAGCGCTGATCACGTGAGGTACGTTATCGTTGACGTCATCCACATAAACGACGACTTGAGCGATAGTGGATGGGGCGTTCAGTTGTGGAGGGAGGAAGATGGTGGAAGAAAACCCGGGCGGCCAGTCGTAGTGATGGGCTGATTTTGAGAGGGTTTTGTTTTTCGAGGGGATTTCATTTGCACCTGCGGAGTACGGCTTGGAGTTCCTGGCATAGACATAAAACTGGAAAGATGAGTTCATTTCTCGATCAATCCATCTTCTCGTACGAATGTTTCCAGTGTCTGGGTCGATGGAGAACCAATAATTCGGAGACGACGACGATGATGATGATTGTGATGATGATGATGATGATGATGGTTGTGATGATGATGATTGTGATGATGATGATGATAGTTGATTGCTCTGCAGGTCCTCCAGTCTGCCCACCACATCACTGGCATGCGCGCCATCTCTGAAGTTCCAATCCAAGATGGAATAGATAACTTTGGAATTTTCCAGAGATGCATCAGCGTCGGAGGCAATCACGTGACCAACCACGCTACTTTCGCTTTCCATTAACTCCTCTTCCGGGTCTCGGATCGTCCGGGAATTTCCCTCGCATACCGACATGTAGAAGACGGTCTTGTTGAACGTCGGTCGGTTATCATTCAGATCCTTCACGTGTATTCGAACCAGGGCCGTGCTAGATAGGGGCGGCTGGCCATGGTCACTGATAACGACCGTGATGACGTAAGCGCGGGCGCGTTCGTAGTCGAAACTAATTAAGGCTTTTATTTCACCGGTCGTTTCGTCTATTGAAAAATGCGACGATGATGATGATGCTGCTACTCTTGATGATGATGATGGCGATGATGATGATGGCGATGATGATGATGACGATGGCGATGATGAATTTTTTGTTCGTTTTCTCGGGAATCCTTTGAGAAAAAAAATTATTTCTTCATGAATAAGTTCACACCTCATTCAACATTTTAACGATAATTATCGGGTTTTTTTTCCATCACCGCCGACGAACCATGAGATAGAAAAATAGAATACTGAAAATAATTAATAATGAAGCGCTTAAAAAATACAAATTTATATAGCGCGCCATGTGTGACTGTCACTCGGGCACATACACACATCGCATCTTTATGTATACATAAGAATGGAGAAATATAAAAACTTAGTTCTACTTGAAAAGAAGATTGCAGTTCAATCATTCACTTCATTCATTCATTCATTCATTCATTCTTTCATTCATTCATTCATTCATTCATTCATTCATTCATCCATCCATTCATTCATTA